TGATAATTCCGCATATCAAAAAATCTCATCGAAGAATTGTTAATTATATCGTATTAGTGCAGCCATATTAAACAATATTGCGTATTACTAAAGAGACTGTGGTAACAGCAAAATTAATCTATAGATGGCCAATTACTAATATATTTATTATTAGCGTGACAAAATTACTGGGTGCTGATTGGTTGAGTGGAGTAGAATTATTTCATTAATTGTACTCCAGTACAATGAATGATTTTCCCATAACAAACAAAATGGCGGAAAGGTATTTGAAACACAAATGAGAAATGAGATTGCCCTAAAAGAACTAGACGAAAATATGAACAAAAGCACCAAATTTTGGTTTAAAGTCTGGCAGGACTGGGCATTGGCGAGAGAATATTATGTTGACTTTGAGAAGTATCCAATTTTGTGATTGTGATGTTTCGAAATTTGTCATTGTGATGTTCCGAAATTTGCACTCGTACTATTAATCCCTAATTGTACCCGCCATCGCATAATTACCTACACATAGTAGGTTTTTAATATTTTAACGTACAAGTAGGTCCCTTATTTTCTATTGCATGCAGTTAAGACTACATTGAAAGAGTAAACTGAAGAGACGAAATGTTGATCAAAACCACAAAATATAATATAAAGAAGTCTAGAATTTGTAGCTACCTTGTAAAGTTTTCCATTCAGGCCGCGCAAAACCAGAAATACAGAACACTGTTTTCATCCAGCGTTAAACTTACGTTGTATTGCACATCAATGGCCTTTTTGGTTTAGTTTTCGGGTTTGAAAAAGAGTATTAGTGAGACCTCAGAAATTAAATTAAAAATTTCTTTAAAATCGTACCCGTTTTAACGCCATTAATTTTACCCAAAGAACCTAGTCACAAACTGATCTTAAAATTAATACGCTTTCTAAATCTCTTTCTTTCTAAGGATCAGATGATAGCCCTAATCTTAAGAATTATGACGAGCAAACAACTGGAGGAATGTTTGATCCTTATCTTAAGAATTATGACGAGCAAACAACTGGAGGAATGTTTGATCCTTATCTTAAGAATTACGACGAGCAAGCAAGTGGAGGTACGTGTGACTAAATAAGTTATTACAGATGTTATGAATGGTAAACATTTTTTGAAGATTTTCACTTGACCAAAATCCAACTTACTTTTTGTAGTTTTTTATTAACCTTTCATTTTAATCAAAAGTTCTGGTGGAAAAGCTTACAGTAATCCGGGTAATCGAAATTGCCTGAACTTGCATGTCATTGAGCTTGAGTTTAATCACTCAACAACTGTGGTAGGTAGGTATACAGGTTTAAGCCGTTTGTGTTTCTCGGGAATTATTGCTGAACTTGTACAACCTTGGCAAGCCAAACAAACAGTCCTATATCACAGTTTTGTTTAGAATTTTCTTTCTCTAAATTTACAGGACTATTCACGGCTGATCAAAAACTGAACGGTAAGACAAATATATACACTCGTCAAAATGCAAATGGTGCTCGTAGTGGCTATGAATGTCCAGAGGAACGAGATTACCATCCTTACTGGCATCCTACAGATTGGATTGATATAGCGGTGTTAGCTTATAATGAAAGCATGTGTCAATATTATCAGAAAGAGAGTTTCAATGTCAAACCTAAAGGTAAGTCCTCATGGGCACGATTACTTTCTTTTACTGGCAACCAACTGACTGAATCGATATAGCTTTGACGAGA